CCGGAGGAGGCCAACCCTGTGAGATCTAATGGGTCTGTGGGAGGTAATTGGCAGCAGGCGGTCTCTCAAGTACCCAGATGTTGCCTCTGCAAGAGAAAACGGGCTCCCAATCTCTGTTTTCGACTGGGATGGCTTCTTGCAATCCTAACCCAGCCGAAAATGAAGCTCGGGATCCCGTTTTCGCTAGCAGAGCACTTGGGCCACCACAGGCGCCCCTGACACGAGTGACGTCAAACTGGCCATCCTCACCCTGGCCACGCCCACTCCAGCCCCCCAAAATCAAACACAAACCCTGATGCGGCCCTAATGAAATCACGTTTGACGCCCCTGCACTCGAACATTGGGAGCAGTTGTCAAGGATCAATATATTGTTGTAATGATGTAGGAACTGACTCTTGAGTTATGCAATGAAGCCACACTTTCACAGACTAATGAGAGAAAGGAGTATCAGTTGTTGCCCCAAACTATTGTATTGAAGAGTTCATTATTGTAGCAACACAAATTGAATTATTTACGTGATTATATACTGATAATATTAGTATATAGATTGCATAAAGTAACACAAGTGTTTGAAACTTCTATATTCTTGCTAAATACCATATACTGACTTTTAATATCTCCATTCTATTTCTGTTTCTTCCTTCCTCCTCAACATCTTGCTTTTAGATTATTAGCAAAAGCAGCACTGAAGGTCAGTTACTAAATAGTGTTATAGTCAAAATATGTCTATATGTAGTCTATACATATTGAGTTAAGTAGAATCTACATTTGAGTAAACGTAGGATGAGTTTTTGTTGACTATTGCTGGGTCTGCATACAAAGGTATTACGAGTCATTTTGAGGGGCGGGAAACCATAAATAAGGCTGCAAACTTGATTTAGCTTAATCGTTAAAATGCTGAAGCTAATTGATTCCAGTGGCACTCCTCCAGCCAATTAGTTTCTAAGGAGTTATGGGGACAATTTGTTGTTCCATATTATATTACATTAGACAAAAAAGTATCTTCAAAAATTCAACCATAGATTTTTATTCTTATAGCTTGACTTGTTTCAATATCTCAAAAGCTAGACTTTTGAATTAAACAGCGATACGCAGTTATGAGTTAAAAGGAGACAATTGGCTCGAATTGGACATTTCGTCATAGCTTATGATGGAAATACTATTGAAAATAAGGGACTAAAAAGTAAACTTCATCAAACTGTTAGAAATATTAAAAATCAATTAGAGAGGTGGTGGGTGATTGTTAATACTGTCAATCTTGTCTCCTTTTCTTCCTCAACCTGTATAGGAAGAAAGCAGTTGCTTGACTCATTCATACAACACCTGGGACATTTAGCCATGGAATCTAATGTGGAATGTGCCCTTCGACAGGAGGTTAGTTTAAAGTCCATGTAGCAAACTTCAAGGCATGAAATCATTTGTCAATTTTTATCAGCTTGCAAACTTCTACCGTGTTTCCATGAAAATAAGACCGGGTCTTATATTATTTTTTGCTCCAAAAGATGCATTGGGGTTTATTTTCTGGTTAGGTCTTATTTTGGGGGAAATACAGTACTAATTGCATCCATCTGGCTGACAATCTAAACTGAGGATTATTTTTGGGGTAGGCCTTATATTGTTGGCTAGCGACCCCCAGGGGGAGAGCCTTCTCTATGGGAGGGCCTTCCTTCTGGAATGAGCTGCCCCCGGAGCTTCGTATAATCCCCGACC